GGAAGTCAAGCATCCCATTTATGCGTGTCACACATGACCCCATCCCCACTATGTGTGCCGGACATTTGTGAAGGCGGTCCTGATCTCGCCTGTGTGGAAGTGACGTGCGTCTGCTTTTCCATATCCAACACTACCTTCCCTCCTCATGTCATAGGTACGCATCAGAAAACTACAAAGTGCGAAGTTGCGCAACCTCGCCTACAAATCTGCTCTCATCGATGAGGAAGGCAAAACGGCAGACCTACTTCTACAGTTGATAAGAATAAGATGAGGCAGAAGAAGAAGAAGAAGAAGAAGAAGAAGAAGAACAAGAACAAGAAGAAGAAGCGATCGCTGGGACAAGGGTTTTATTCGCCCGACGTTTTGGATTCTCGCTTGGACCTATCATCAGAGACAGTGACAGCATTTGCAACTCTAACATGGGACGCAGTAGTAATGGCATGTGATTTAACATTTACTAATCTTGGGAACATGCAGTCTGATCGGAGTCACCCCTGAGGTTTCTTTGCACTCCCCGTCAAGTCAGTTGGTGGACCGGTTCTTGCTTCCCCCTGTCCACTTGAAGAAGATCTAGACTCCAAGCAACAACATCAGCAAAAACCCGCTGGGAACTGGAAAAAATTAATTAGACACTTTTTCATGACCCCAAACAACAAACGCCAAGACATTTCACCCAAATCTGCCCAGTACAACCAACCCCGACTATGACGGGCGAAATACTTGATCAAATAATTGACTTAGCTGCGCCCTCCCAGACTTGTGCTTGCATTTCTGCTGTCAAAGCACATCGTATTCCCAGTCCACCGTAAAAAATAGCTAATGCAGTCAAGAAAAATCAAAAATGTTAATGAATTTTTAAAACCCCGCCAGTTTGTGCGAGTAATTACAATTCTTTCCAGCACTGTGTGTTCCCCTAATTCGATTTCTCCTTCTTTGATTTTGTATGTAAAACTAATTTTCACTTTGAATCCTTTTCAAGATCTGAAGGCGCGGGGATTCGTGCCGAAGCGGAAGCAAAGTCTATCGGGAGAGAAAAATAGTGCTCAATTACCTGTAAGATGCAGAAGTTATCGCAGTACCAAAAACTTGGCGAGCCAGAAGACGGGGGCGAAAAGTTCGCCAGGAGATTACTTCGTCTTCGATATAGCCAATTTTGTATGCAGTCTCGAACGGCTACTTCTAATCCCACATCCTAGTGAAGTTGTGGTTCGCTGTTTAGAAAGACCTGCTGAGCATCAGACACATACAGGAGAGATGCGTATTTCACTGAATTAGCTTCATAGGATGGTCAAATGCAGATTGTGGGTAAGATTCTGTGAGTAAATAAATGTACCATTGGTAACGATAGGGTGTAATACCCACAAATAGATGGCAGCTACGAAAATCTGCCCCTAAATCCCAGTGTGACTGTAAACATCACGTATTATTCACAGTTTTCACTGTTTCAAATTTCCTTCCATTCCTGACTAAATGTAAACTTTCCAGTGGCGCTTTATTCAAAATCCGCTACGTTATGAAATTTGCTTTTTGCTTGTTGTTTACTTATCGCTCTCACTTTCTTTGCCAAATGACAGCGTACGATATGACTTTCGGCAGAAATTTGTCCATTTTCTGTGTCTTCTTGCTCACCGCCCCATGTCTTTTCCCATCCGTGAAACCCCCTCTACCACCATTCGAGGTATGACACGGTCCACGAACTAGCTCAAGTTAGTTGTGGGTCGGGCACCCTATTGTTGCCGTAGCGTTGATGGAAACGAGAGTCCTGTACTGATTGGAGTTCCGCAGCTACCCTGTGGCCTACAGACCGGACGTCTCGAAGCGCGCACCTTTTAGTGTTTTGCGCATATTCTGTGATTAGCTTGGTTACCCAACAAACAGCAAAGATGTACAAAGACCCTAGGAAGTGTATACACGAGATTAGCCGAACCCCTCACAGTTTAGTCGCGCATGAACTTCCAGCTAGTTTCTGTATCGGGAATAGACTGAGGCACTGTTCTGTGTTGAGTATATACCACTGTTGGATTCTCGGGCACATTTCGTGCATCTTTCTTTCGAAATACCTTATAAGCGGTTCAAATATATACCTCAAAGTTAAGCGTTGACGGGACGAGTTGTAGTTAGATAACGTTGTCTTAAGCTTCTTCTTGAATTTCAGATGAGCTTCAGGAAGTACACACTTGTCAAAGGTCAGGCACAATTTGCATTTAAATTAATTCGTCGGTAATTGTGCATCGTGCCCTAATATTGCCCATTATCTTGCTCAGATGAAGGCTCTCGTAAGCATGGTAGTGCGTATGCAATGCCCGACTACTAATGGCTAATTAAGTACAGCTCAGATAGTTGTGCAGTAGACGGTCGTCCTAGGAATCATTGTTCAAAATTATTAAATACATCTCCCTAGATTTTTGTTTACTACCGTGGAGATGTTTTTAGCCTTGTACTGGAACGCCAGTGTCCTTTGATGACCACAAGTGTCTCCATCCCATCTAAACACCAAGCAGGCATCATAGTTTTTACTGGTTTTCAAAGTGCCATTTCTAGATAACAGAAAAAACTGCTTACTGCGATACTTAAATAAACGGAGAATGTATATAAAAGTAAAAGACATTCCTGTAGATACCATTTTAGACAATTTTTCAAAGCAAATATTGAGTGATTCTCAACTTTAAGTTTTAAATGCTTTCTTTAAAAAAGCATGATCATGATATGTCAAATTTTTAAAATTATCTGTAAAAACGACGGAATCCCAACCTCTAATTTGAGTGGTCTAACAGAAATTGTCACTAAGCTTACTATCGCATAACCCGGTATTCCCTAATTTTCGTACATTTGTGATAAATCGACAGCTATTGCCGACTATATCTACCGTATGCAGACGTAACTAAGCAGTGTTTCTCGATCGGCGTTCATCACATAACCCAACCGCGTATAATCCTTGCATCTTAGCATGAGATCTCAAGCTGTAGCCTTGTTTATCTTAAAAATGAGTCGCTGACGCCATTCAGCCTCTGTGGTTCCTCACAATTTCCGTCGTTTTAAGTGACGTGTCTTTACACGATAGATTGTTGGTTACCACCTGTCATTTGGTCAAGAGTACGTTGTAGGATAATGCGAGATCATCTTCTCGCAGAGGAACATGGGTAATAAAGTGCCTAATTGGAGCTTTCCAGACCGGCATGTTGGAAGCTCATCATGTCTTGAAGGCCCTGCTGTGAACTATTCCAGTGTGCCCGGGTCTCAGGACTCCTTCCAGGTTGGTGTAAAGTCGAGTTTTGGAAAATTCGACTGCAAAGCACACATACTGATGCATATTTCTTGACAACGGAGTGTGAGTGTACGTACACTTTAAAGGTTGATCAGTTAATGGACTTACTTGTTCGCTTCGGGTCAAAACAGGTATGACCTTGGCAAATTCGGAAACATAGGAACTTCTCCAAGTATAGAAGGAAGATAAGCAGAGTTACGAAGACAGCGCCAACAAAAACGAGAAAGTGTCGTGCTGAAGTCGGAATCAAGGCTGATAAGTCTTCTCCTCCCGACTCGATCATTTCTCCGTCTACGCTCATGGCCACAGTTTACTTCTGCCCCAAAAGTGATCGTCTCATTCCCGACTGCACCGACAAAAAACTGATTGTTGGTCACGAGGTAGCGATCATGGGCAGAATTATCGTCAGCCCATTACCAACCAATCAGCCCTGTGCAATCGAAGAATGTGAGCAGACATGCTCGACATAAGCACGCGTCAGCCGATCGATAAAGCACAGTCCTAAAGTCTGTGGGCGTTACCCGCGGGAAGTAAAATTGAAAACAGAGCCCTAGTTCCGCAGCACTTTATTCTGACGTGAATTGGTCTAGGAGGGTTAAAAAGCAATATTCTGTCTGCCGTCCAGTTGATTTTGACGTACTTGCATTAATGTCGTTACCTGAAGCATGCATTTTTCAACAAGGCCTAAGGACAATTTGGATTTGGCGCTGTCAGACGATGCGCAGTATTCAACTGAGTACTTTTTTCACCCCCAAACTATATATACTCATTTAAACTCGCTCTTCTTGCGCTATTTATATCCCACTGGCAACACACGATGGCAACGAATGACGGGGATCCTAGACGCTGTAACTGGCCGTACACCCTTCCATGTTGTCATGTACTTGCTAATCCCTCGAATAGGAGGAGGCAGGTATTACTTGGACAGCAGTGTGATCAATCTACGCGGCTGTTCGTGCGCTAGTACCGCACGAATGCAACGAAGATGAGTGTTCTCTGATTGACCTATTGAATGTCCTCTAGTGCTGCTGCCTCTTGTTAACTTAAGGAACTAACAATTACGGAGGCCGAGTATGCGAATGAAACTCTATGCCATACTTTGACGCGGTCGTCGAGGAAAGGGCCCTCTTTGGATGACTAGAATAGGCGTGACTCCGTTAAACAGTTGCTCAGACGGTCTTTGAGGTAGTCTTGTGCTAAGTAGTGCCTATCCCCACGTTCTAACTCTAACATCAACACTAACTCTAACCCTTCTAACCCTAACCCTGGAATTTGGCGTAGGGCCACATGTGATACGGGGATCCATGTTTCCACGGTCTGCCCCATAAGCTGCCAAAAGCTACTCTCGGATAGTTAGACCTCATCATGAAATTGTCTTACAAGTGACTGTGTTAAAATCCTTTGATTTTCTAACCTTGTCCGCAGGATAATCATGCCACTGCCAACAAAACGCACTCGATTTCCTAAATAAATTTCCGCGAGGTCTTGCGAAGGAATAATTTCAATCACAAGGCAGAATTAACAGCGCGAGAAAAATGAATTCGACTAATTACAAAAACTAATTAGATCCTATTTTTCGTTAATAACATCCTGTAGGCAGCAACTGGTCAAAAGCTGTCACACCTCTAGATTTCAATGTTGTTCTTCTGCATGAATTGTTTCAGTCGTTCCAATGTCGCTGCTTTTACTTCCTTTGGGACAGTGGACCGCGCAGCCGCCGAAACACCCATGACTACGTCGTCCACGGAGACATTGTCCACGCCTTTGGACTTGATGAACTCTTTGCAGTGCATCTTCACTTTGTCATTCCAGCCACTTTTCTTCAGCTGCTCCTCAATCAAGTCCCTTATTTTCTCGCGCTCCCCTGTGCTAGTGAGTAAGTCATTGACCTTTTGCCGAATTTCTTCGCGTTTTGCGGCCATTCCTTCGGTTTCGAGGACTGGATGTTGTGACAAAGGGCATTCGAAGTCTGTTTTATCGATTTTGATATTTCAAGGCGTGCGCGTGCTCTACGTGCGTGTACAGTAGGCCAAAACAGATTGACCAGTCAAATCACGAGGCCGCCTTACGCAAAGTTCTCAATGCGGGTTGTCGGTGGCGCACACCGATACATTGGCTTCCCGAATCAGATAAGTCCCGAATGTGTGATAGGACTCACGAGCAGGGCCGAACTCGATCATTGTGTGTCACAGCGCTTCATAAATCTACCGGCATTTCGCGTCGATATTTCCCGTACATGCAACAAAATTAACTGTTGAGGGATTTGTTCGTTGAAATTTGCGAAATTTGTGCTTTGCGTGTTGCGGCGACAGCATGAGATTCGGGGTCTCGACCATAACGGCTGCCTCACAAATTCGTCAAGTCGGTAGAGATGAAATGTTTGAGTTCGGACTGCGTTCTCACCGTTTCCTTTCCAATGATAAAAGTCCCCATCCATAAAATATCGTCTTTTCTGTTGGGTTGCTTAGTAACTGACTGTGGTAATTAGCTCACTTATAAAGGCGGAGAGTAACCAAACTTCTTGAGACCGAAAAAAGGAAAAAAAAGTCGTAAAACAGAATAAATCGGTGGAAGACCTAAGAGCTAATTTACTAGCATCCGCTCAGTCCTGAGCGTTGCATACCCTTGGGAGAGCGGCCGGTAAGTGGTGCTCGGTATCGGTATTTGGAAGGATGCGGAACAGAAAGCAAGTTTACGGCTCCAGTATTTTGACGTCGCCGAAATGAGCGCGATGCTAAAACTGAAGTTATAGTCAAAAAAAGATGTTAGTGCCCTTAGCGAATGTAAGGGAGGTCCCGACAAAAATCACCAGAGACCGACAAAGTTATCAAATGGAACACGGATTTTCTGACGCAGTTAAACCAGAGATGTCATCTAATTGTCTCAAGTTTTACGCAGCGCTTCTCTGACAAGGGACTTTTGTTATCTTTTCCACTAATTTAAAGGTGTTCTGGATTTTTTGGAAGGCCCTATCTCCCTTCGTTTGTACGAGTTCACTTTTTTAGTTATATTAACCTAAAATAATGAGCAATTGGTATAACTTTCAAAAACTTAATACCGTATGCGTAGTGTTGATCTTTAACCGACTCGAAATAAGCTGGTCATTATTTAATGTAAAACAGGGTAATCCTCAAATTTTGGGAAGTAATCTTCTGGCCGAGAACTCATGCCTAAAAGGTTTGTACGGCAAGGTCTAGATATAACCCTCCCTGAGTACACATTTAGAGCGCACTGTTTCCTGTGAAAGTCGCAAGTGGGTGGTTTTCGGGACGTCCGGATCGTTTTGGTCGTTGGCGGTGGTGACAGAGATGGTTCGGTTCGACGTCCTTGCGGTAGTTGAGGCAAAGTTAGTGACGGGGGTATTCGCTGACGGTAATGCGGCACGAGGATTCGAAATAGCATTAACGAGGGTGGGCGCCGATGAGATCGTTGTGGAGGTTAAAGCAGACACAGTCGAGAAGACAGCAGTTGCCGTCGTCAGACGGTTGGTCTGAAGATGACCGGTCCGCGCACGAAATTTTCGTTGATATCGCGGGCACGTTAGGTGGCCATGCTGCGAAACGGAGGCACCTGAGACTTGCGGACAGTCCTTTTGGCTTTAGCGGCGGCGATCCAGTTTGCCTCGTAGATGTCTGCACTAATATAGGTTCGTCTGTTCTGGACGAGGTCCTCCCAGGTCTCTGGGTTTATACTTGATTCCTTAAGTGTGTTCTTCAACATGCCCTTGTAGCATCGCTTGGGTCCTCCCAGTCGAAGAATGCCGGTGGTGACATCACCATGGAAGAGTTGTTTCGGTGCTCGTGTCTCCTCCATCCTCACAATATGGCCGCCCCAACTTAGCTGCAGTTCCCGCAATATGACGTGAATGTTAAGAATATTGATCTGTTCTAGGAATTCCGTGTCGGGGATGCCGTCTTGCCACCTCGGATTTAGTATTCTGCGAAGGCAGCTGAGATGGAAGTGGGAGGGGTTGATTAGAAGTCTGAAGTTTCGATTAGTTGCTTCGTTTACCCATCTTTAGAGACTTTCAAGTCGTGCGCACATCTCTCCTTCAAGCAAACCGTGCCTTTTCTGTGTCACGCCATTCTTGACGACGAAACCAGAACACTACCTATCCGCCTTTGCAGACGGGACAGGCATTGACACCTAACAGAGAGGAAAGTGTCTAATGCATAGAAAAGTAATGAAGTCAGCTCTCTGTAGTCTACCACTTTCGTCTTCCGGGATAAAGAGGAGGCCGCAGTGTGCACTGGCATCATAAATTCGAACCTCCGTCAAGTTTCCTTGGTCGAACATGGGAACACAACCCCCCCCCCCCCGTCGTTTTACCCAGTTGGTCAACTTTTGGGATTCTCCCGTCCTCTTCGCAAGTGTTTCCACTTTTGGCCCCTTTTGACATTCCCCTTTCCCCTTTTGTAACCCTTTAGCGAGCAAGATCGGTGTTTTTTTAATTAACTAGTTTTTGTATTCAGACCCTGAGCTGGGAATTGGATTTCCTCGAGCAGTCACAAAGGGATTCTTTGTCTAGGGCATTCATTGTTGAGGTTTGTATGTTTTTTTACTACCTGTCTTCTATGAATAGTGCCGTGTATACATCAAACTTTGTTTTGGCTCATACGCATCACCCGGCCAACAAAGAATTCTACATTCCCCCTCCCCTAGTGCTACAGATGGACCCTTACCAAATTCAAAGGCTTGTCCACTCCGGATCCCAACTTTAACCCTAACACTAGTCCCAACTCCACTCCCCAGCCCTGAAATTTAGGGAACTCAATATACAACAGCTATACTTTTGTTCGGACGCAAAGGCATTGTGTAGAATAAAGCTTCCGGAAATTCTTGGCTCCGCTGAGATTGGTATGAAGACTACATATGCACACCAAGATGCTCTTTGATATCTTCACAAATTACGGAAGGGAAGGACTGATTAGGAGTCTCTTCACCGAGAACCCCGTATCCTCGCAAGGCAGAACGCCCAGCGGGTTTAGTAAACTCACGGGCTCTAGGTGAGGATATATTACAGCAAAGCGGATGTCTAGTTGAGGAAACTGTTACCGCTGAATCCGCCTGTGCAGAACAGTGCTCCTTAACAGAACGACTGGTCCCTACTCTCTCTTTTTCTCTCTCTCTATCAGTTCAGGTTTCCATACCTGAGTTCTGTAGTTGCGTCACCATTTGTTGCGTGTAAGAGTAGACAGACAGAGATGACAGCCAAGAACTTTACAGCGACAAGTACTGTGCGTGGGTCACTTATCAACCCTTCCATCCACGATGTCGTATTTTAAGGGTCATGTCATCGTCCCCATTGGTTGAAATCTGAGCGCCAGCAAGGGCAGACTCGGTGGGCTACCCCTGCCCGGAACTTGACGCATGACCCGCCTACGTACTAAATGCTGACCTTGTAGGCGAAACTGAACTGCGGTGTGGTAAACTCCTGGAGGCGCGCGAAAACCGGACAACAATGATGGCGCATCGTCTTCTGATTCGCCCCAAAATGACTTTTCTTCCACCTCCGTCCCACATCGGCCCCAAAAGTTTATTTTACATTTATTCTTCAAAACCGATCTGCCTGCTAAATGACCGCTCCATAGGCTTCCGTTTTGTCAGCCTGGTGACAGTTGCCTGAGTAAAGCACGTGAACATGGACTCCCTTATGACTGGCGATCCTGCGATAAAATCGGGGAGACTAGTGTTGGGAGGGTAATGACTGCGCTTAGTGTTAGGAGAGTTGGGTTTCTGGTTAGTGTCATGTCCTCATTAGTGGACTCATTTAAGAGAAAGCTTGACCAGTACAGGGATATGTACCACCACAGCATCAGAAACTAACGAATTTCCCCCCTGTACCACCCGCCTAACCCAACGTTTTATGTTACAATGCATGCTACTCCCTAAATTTTACTAACATTACGTTTTACAATTTTCGCTATCTCCTGACCGCAGCATATGCGCTTGCTTCGATATTACTTGGTCCATTCAGTACCGTACTGGTTATTGTACAATCTTGACATAGAAGGCATTCACAGACAAATTCATACCAGTGACCAATGCTTGTTGTATGTAATTACTTACCTATTTTTTTCATACTTGCCTTACACATTGTTTTTTATGACGTTATTTTAACCAAAAGGGAGTTCAAACCCGCTCGCCTATCCTTCCCTTAATAAATGTGATCTGATCTGAAGTTAGGACACGGGACTAGGTGCTCCCTAGAATTTAGTGCAAGCTCACCTATAGTACGGGTGGGCCCAGGTTCCCATTTCCTACCGTTTTCTGAACTTCCCTGTTGTTTCAGTCTTTTCCCACTTGCAGGACAACGCACGGAAGAAACATGAGGTTTTTACCAATAAACTAATACAGCAGGTCCTACATCCCAGGCCTTACATCGCACATTTGCATGTGGGAGAGGGAGGACTGGCGACAGTCGATGAGTACCAGACAGGGTATGGCTTCCCTGTTTTCGACCGCTACTGTGTGTGCGGCCGCGTATGTGAGATTTTAGCGTCTAGGCAGTAAGAGCACTCCAAGCGTCATAATCCCAAGGTTAAGTGTTCGGAGAAGACTGCAGGCACCGGAAGGGGGGATTTATTGTGAACAGAGCCCCGAGACGCTGTATCGGGCAACATTGACCACTGGCTAGGCGAGGGTATGTGGAATGTATATGTTACTGACAACATTTTAGTAGTGTTTGTTTGAACTTAAATATTGTTTGTACCGTTTTCAGTAGGGTCTTCAAAGGCAGTACCTATTACCCTAGATACGCTATACTATACTATCTTATTGCGTTCACTTAGCAAGCGTACTTTGGGCACCACAATCAGTAAACTAGGTCTCGATAAACAGGATAAGCTATAGGCCACGAGAGAGGGGGAGATTGTTGTGAGCCCTAAGCTGCTCTCTCAGCGGCCGCTGGCGAGGCCACAGT